TGCTTTGCATTTAAGTGACTAAGTAGAAAGGGAAGCATCTGCTTTTCAAGGTCTCCCAAATGCATTGAGAGAAAAACTTTAAGAAAAATCTGCACTGAATTCTCACCTGTGAATGTATTTTCCATCTCAATTTCTCATCTTGCTGCTTAGAGACATGTCAAAGACACACAAATATTTACCGATGAATATCATTTATTCAGCTCTGGGGAAATGGTGCTATTTGCATTTATGTGGAGACTATGACTTTATACAAGCTAAATGTCACTGTACATGCATTGTTTTTCTAGTCAATATTTGTTTCTTGCTGCTATTCTATGTCAGGAGACTGATGTCAATGGAGTTTGTTTAATCTTCACATGACTTGGTTCTGTACACAACTGCTCTGCAATTCATAAAGGCCTCAAATGAACAAATCTGACAGACTAAAACTTAGTAATTCTTGAAGCTTGATCTGAGATCCTTTGAAATCGATGGAAAAGTTACCATTGTGAGCAGAAAGATTTCAGATTAGGCCTTAGTGAATATCCACCCTATTTTGCACTGATAAAATAAAGGAGATGACTCACACAATGGCTCTAGACTTGCTTTGAAAGGAATATTCTGTGTGACTGAACAAATAGTTTTATTGTAGCAGAAGGTGCTGTGGGTCCTTAATCATGTAGGAAAATGTCTCATGTTGGAGAGAAGCACTGGGCTGATGGCACGAGCCTGCTGCCTGGCACTGTGAGCGTGGGATTTCCATCTGGGCAGTGCGCTCGCTGCAAGCACAGGAGAAATGAATTACTGACATGTGCTGTACAGCAACATAAAGGTCAAGGACAGACTCGTGTTTAGTATGAGAAAACACTTCTTGTACAAGCCCTAGGTGCAAACCCTGCTGAGGCAGAAACATTCAGATATTAGACTGGCTGAGCTCTGGCTTCCATGGTGGCCTGATGCACGCTCAGTTTTCCAGTTGAAGAGGGTCCAAAGCTGGTGCCGTACATTTATGGCACTATAAGTTTGTATTTGAACTGAACTCATGTTAGCATTACATTCTTAGGGCAAATGCTCCAGAGGCTGGGCCCTGAGCTGTGATTTGAAAAAAAATTTCCAGCTAATTGTGGTCAGTAGATCCTGAAAAATCCCATGAAAAAGAGTTCCTGCTTTTATTTCCAGAACTTTGCTGTTGGTAGTGGAAGCCAGGAGCTGAGCTGACAGCACATACAAACAATTTTTTGGTTTCCCAAATAAAATAGCCACTGCAGTTCCATAATTCAGGGCCTTAGCAATAGCCATGTCTAGCTGTAGCTTTCATAGGAAGATATACTTTTTCCCTGAAACCCTTGCAATACACACAACCAAGCTAAAATGTTTACTTTTGTGAATTGCTAGGAATAATTAAACTACGTGTCTGCTTTTGGAGACTTTTAGTTGCAAATAAGCTCACATGACTGGCACTTTAATTACTTATCTGGAGCATCATGTAAATACAGAATAAGCAAAAAAACATTATGAAAACTATTCAATGTCAACTGTTTCAGACATTATGTCATTATTTGAATTAGTGATAATTTGCTGTCAAAAACCATAAGCACACTAAAATTAACCCACAGATACAACACATATATGGAGTAATTACAAAATTTCACTCACTACAAAGATTGAGTTGTCCTTTAGCAGGTGCAATAAAATATGATGAATCAAAGTCTGTTGAAAGTAGTATACATTAAAGTAGCAGGAATTGGTGTGTGTGATGTAGGAATAAAAAGGGCAATGCCCCTGCTTTTCAACTACAAACTGTTTATACCAAATTTATGCTTTCCCCTTCTTCAGTGAATTGATTATACTGAATACAGAAGACTGTGGTTTATGCTAATAACATTTTATGATGACCAGCACAACATAGCCCTTTTAACCTGAAAAATGCTTATGTGACCATTTGTCCTGCCCTGGGTTGGATTTTGCTGCAGCAGTTCACACTCAAAACAATTAAGATATCTTAATATTATGCTAACAAGGACAGGGTCATGGGAAAAAAGAATTGACCAGAATTCCACCTCAGTGCTCCTCCAGGTGCTTCTCTCAATGGTAGAAGACTGATTTTAAGGGCATAATATATTTCACACCTACTCTGTGCATTTCAAATATTTTTTTCTCACTAAGAACAATATTAATTTCTGGAATAAACCAGAATACTTTAATCAGCAGCACAAGCAAAGCCTTGATTTATTCTGCCTCAGAAATGAAGGGGGAGATGAGGGAATAGAAGATGTTTGTCTCTTTTGCTTTACGAGACACCTGCTCCAGGAAGCTTGGGTAGATACAGGCTTGGGTAGAACTTATTGTGGGATCAAAGGTAAATATAGCAAAGTGTCTTAAAATTCATCAGTTCTATAACATTAAAGCAGCATACATTCTCTAACTCATACAGGCACTAAAAATGTGTGCACTGTGTATGTTTTGTACATACAGTACCACTGTGAAATTGAACAACCAGTATGTTATTCCTTAAACACCTAAAGAAAGTCCATGGACCTGAAGATCCTCATCAGTTTGAGAATTTGGATTCTAATCATGAATGCCACAGCTGCGCTGACTCATCTGCCCCCCAGTTAACAAAAAGAAAGGAGCTGACATTGCATGATCTCTGTTCACCCCAGAAAGGGCTGGAACAACTCTTTCACAGCATTTGAGGCTTCCTCATCCCACGTGGGAAGAGTTGCTGCTGTCTCACTTCCTTGGTTCTGTCAGCTTTGCAGCTGATACCCAGCCCAGCATTACCTGCAGTGGGAGATGCTGGGCAGCATCCACACAGACACCACCTCTAATCCTTTCTGAACAGGCTGCCAGGCCCAACACCCCTCCTGCTTTGTGAATTGTGCACACTGCTCACTAGGCAACACTTCTCTGTCTCTAAAGCAAACATATACCAACCTGGGTGACATTAACTGGACAGAGTTAGATTCTGAACAGGATGGTCCTGAAGATTCTACCAGGCAGAAACAAATCTCCTCTGTAAAAACTTGTGCAGAGTAAATATTCTTCCTTCACATAGCAGAGTACCATTTCATTGTACCAATGAAACAGAGCAGACTTTGGGTTAAGAAAAGGAGCTACTGTGATTCTGTGTCACTGCTATCTGGGTTTATTTCTGGGCTTCTATGGTACCACTTATGATACAGAATTTACAATTCAGAAGTCACCAAAAGAGAATATGTCCAAAGGAATGTGGAACTCTGACAGGCCTTTGCAGGAGTGCTCTACTCCTGCTGGAACATCTCCTCAGCACACTGACCCCAGAGCCCAGGGCATTCTGTTTGTCCTGTCCTGCTGAGGACTTCATCAGTAAGTTCAGGGCACTTTCCGTTGGGAGGTGGTTCTGGCCCTGCACCACCTGCACACACTGAGGAAGGACATGAGATGTTCAGAGGCAGACTCTGACATGTAGCGGCTGTCCCCTGTTATCCTTTGTCTCCAGCTGCAGCATCCTTGGTAGCATTGAACTGCAAAATAGTTAAGTTAGAAAAGACCTTTGAGATCCAGTCCAACTTTTGACTGGACACCACCATGTCAGCTAGACCATGGAACTCAGTGCCATGTCCAGTGTTTGCTTAAGCAGTTCCAGAGACAATGACTCCACCACTTTCCTAGGAAGCCTGTTCCAAAGTCAACAACCCTTTCTGTGAAGAAATTCCTTCTAATGTCCAGTCTGACTCACCCCTGGAACATCTTGAGATTATATCCTCTTGTACTGTATTTGTGGGGTGCCCTGTGGCAGGAATGAATGATGGATCTGACTCCATGTTCTCAGAAGGCTAATTTATTATTTTATGATACTATATTATATTAAGGAATGCTAGACTAAACTATACTAAAGAACACAGAAAGGATACTTACAGAAGGCTAAAAAGATAATAATGAAAACTTGTGACTCTTTGCAGAGCCCCAACACAGCTTGGCCGTAATTGGCCAATGAGTCAAAATAATTCACAGCAGAAACCAATGGAACAATCACCTGTTGGATAAACGGTCTCCAAACACATTCCACATGTGAGCACAGCACAGGAAAAGCAAACGAGATAAGATTGTTTTCCTTTTTCTCTGAGGCTTCTCAGCTTCCCAGGAGAAAAATCCTGGGCAAAGGGATTTTTCAGAAAATATAAATGTGACACTCTTGCCCTGTTGCAGGTTCCCTAGGAAAAGAAGCCAAGACCCACCTGGCTACAACTGCCTGAAAGCAGGTTGTAGAGAGTGATAATGTCATCCCTGAGCCTCCTTTTCTCCAAGCTGAATAACCCTCCTCCCTCATATGCTCCTCATAGTACTGGACCCTTCACCAGCTTGCTCCAGTATCAGAAGTCCTTTCTAAGGTGAGGGCACCAGAACTGGACACAGCAGTTGAGGTGCAGCCTTACCAGTGCTGAGTGCAGGGGGCTGGCCACCGTCCTGGCCCTGCTGGCCACACTGCTGCTCATCCAGGCCAGGCAGCATTGGTTTTCTTCACCACCTGGGCACACATGGTTCCTGTTGAGCAGCACCCCAAGGTCCTTTTCTACTGAGCAGCTTTCCAGCCACTCTTCCCACAGCATGTAGCACTGCGTAGGGTTGTTATATCTGAACGGCAGGACCTGGCACTTGGCCTTGTTGAATGCCATATAATTGGATTTGGCCCATTGATCCAACCTCTCCAGATCCTGCTGCAGAGCCTTCCTACCCTGCAGCAGATCCACACTCCTGCCCAAGGAGGAGATGGGTCATGTCTCTGCTGCCCTTTCCCAAGAGACCTTTAATCTCCTGAACAATCATTTCATGTGATCCTTCACATGGCACAACATACTTGCAGGAGAGGAATCTGTCTTTTATGTTTGGAGAAGGAGGTTGAACTGCATGACCTCTGAAGGTCCAACTTACATGACTTTTATGATTACAGCCACTGCCACACTTATATATTATAAGAAAATACAAGAGGGAACCAGCCATCTAATCTTATTCTATTTTAAATAAAAATGCCTACCTACCTAGGAAAGTTTTTTTAGATAAGAGGCTGTATCTGGGGGTGGCCAAAGGCTGGGTCTTCCCTCTTCCATGCCCACTCTTTGTGGGGATGACCAGGCCATAGGTCCCTTGTGGCTCTCCCCATTGTGCTGAGGGCACTGCTTCACATCGGGACCATAATTGAAGATGAGAAGCAGCCAAAAGCTCTGGAAGCATTGCACTGCCTGTTGATGCACAGATGCTGGTGACACAGACACTGCTCAGCTGGCACAGCATTTCTCAGAGGTGGTTGCAAAAGGGAGGCTGAAACCTGGACATCTCCAGGTTATTGCAGCAAATTAAATATGATGACACTTAATAGACAGTTTATATGCTCTATTAACTCTATTGGACTTTTGTATTGGAATAATTTATTGCTGGATTCTACACAGCACAGATATAGTTCCAAATATCCTCTGATTTTGTTACTTTGCAGAGGCCTTAGCCTCAAAGATACATCCAGTAGGAGCCAGTAGGAGCTGAAAGTTTATTCTGGAGGCTGTCCCAACCATGTCAAAGGAACAGCTATAGCCCTTAGGACTAGCTGTCTTTTGTCATGCTGACACATTTGGCACACTTGTTAGGAAACACCATTCCAAAAGAGTGTTGAAGTTCTGTGAAGAGTGTCCAGCAAGTTGTGCTTTTCTCAATGACCATGTGTGAAGTATTCCATGTTTCAAATCAGTTTGACCTGCTTCTCACCCAGCAATCTCCTGGAGCAGCACTGGTTGTAGAGAAGCTGACCTCTTGCATACTCATGTTGGTGGAGTCACTGTCTGCTTCATCTGTTGCTGAAGGGTGACAAACACACCCGAGGGCTGAGTGCTTGCAGGAGCAAGGTGAAGCAGTTCAGAAGTTTCCTGTAGGTGTTTCTCTGCAGTGGTGTCACAAACAGGAATGCTTGTGCTGCTCCTCCTGCTCCTCTGCACTGAGGCGGTGCAGGCACTCACCTTCAATGGACGATTCCTCTTGGATGAGTTTGCTAATGGCTCCACTTGTGTCACTCATGAAACTCATCTTCATGATTTCTGAAAGACCCCATTAACACTGCATTAGAATCCTGGTGGCTTTCATTCACTGAATTATTTAATTACTTAAATTTTTTAAGCACATCAGAATACCTTTTAAGTCAAATGTGACCTTCTGGTCTTCTTTAAGAGGGCCTGACCTTGGACATGCTTCAGGAGGCTTTTGCAGCCTTGCTTCTGTCTTCACACATGCTCTTACTGCAGCACTTGGCCTTGCACCTTCACAAAAAGGTGTTGTTGAGGGAAGCAGCATGCTAAGTGGTTTTCTTTTTTGTGATTTATCCAAGTGCCTGTTTGCTCCCACATGCTGTGAGTGGATAATAGCAGTTCTCAATCAAAGTTAAAATTACTAACGCTCTTGTCTGTGGAAAATTTAGTGCAGGAAAGAAAAAAGGTTAACGATGCTGCTATACTACCAATCTTACTACGGTTTGTCTTCATCCCTGCATCTTTGTGAGCATTATTGTATTGACAAGTTATTCCACTTGATCTCTCTGCTGAAACCAGTGTGAGGCAACTGTATCTGACATTTTGTTAAGATGGTGAAACTACTATAAAAAAAGCCATGTAAACAGAAAACCAGTGTTTTTTTCCTAACACTATGTTCATCATCCAGTAAACACTCACAACTCAGCAGTGTGCTGACAGCACAGTGATTAGCACAGAGAATTACTCCATCCTCCTCTTGAATATACGCTTACAGCAATAAATTTTGCCAATGTATTTCCTCATAGCTGGAAGCTGTTGAAATTATTTGGCACAGGATGTTGGGGTAGCTTAAAAAAAATAGCAACAACAGCAGCAAGTCTCACTTCAAGTTACTGACACTTCACTGTCCATCTGCAGTTCTGTCATATGGAGGCAACGTACCATCATTTCTCTTTTTCTAATTGTGCTCACCCCAGTGTTCTTTTGTGGCACAAGTTATGACTACTTTTTAATTGTAGCCTGCTACAACCTTTTGCCAGTGTAAAAGGGCAGAGAGCTGATCCTTTCACTTATATATTCTCAGTCGTCTACTGAACACATTTAATTTATGGGAACTGGAAAATGGGACAGCATTAGGGTTTCATATATTCATGTACAAAAGTCATTTTTAGTTGAGATAGATGAACTCTGATGGATTACACAGTGTCAAATTATACGCTTCAAATTATATGGTCTAGTGATGGAGTGGTTTGACCAGGTCATGCTAGACTCCTTATCTGAAAAGGTTTTATATCAGGCATCTGAAACCACTCTTGGGTACTTAATCAAAACCAGTCTGCTTTTTAGGGGTCATCAGCATGCACAGACCAGTGCCTAAAAGACTGTCTGTATGGTGAGAGTACCTCAAAAGACTGCTTACTAGGTAGTCTGGGCTCAAGCCACCCTTTTGTGTGCCTGGTCTCTGACACACTGAAGCCTCCAGCAGATGGATGAAGTTACCTTTTGGATGCCTCATGCCTAGCCAGAATCCCACTGAATACTGCAAGTTCCCTGTGGTGCTTTAGAGAATAATTAGCAAGTTTCCAAGTTTACCCTTAAGATATAGTTGTGTCCAAAAATTTTCCTCCTCTGCATCTTGGATGTCTTCAGTGTGCCCTTGTGTACTTACCCTTGTGCTACATGGAAGCTTTGCTGTCATGCTGGCTTATGTTCTCCAGATACGCAGACACGTGCCCTTGAAATCAGTCCATACCTTTCTTTCATAAGACTAACACAGAGTTCTTGGCAGATAGTGGAAAAATCTCAATTTTTACACAAATTTCGGAATACTCACTCCCAAATCTTCCAATTTCAGTCTTCCCAAGACTCCACATTTGCTGGAGTCTTGCTGCAACACAACCTTCAGCACAAGCCTAACATGAAACGTGACAGTACTTCCAGAGGCAGTTGCTGGATCTGCTGTCATGCTGAAGATGAGACACATACTTAGTTCCCAGTGAATCACACTCCATGATTCCTGCATAGAACCAGCACAGACATGGGCTCAGGGCTAGCAGGCAAGGTGCTGCCCTAAGCCCTGGATCTCTCTGGGTGTGTTTGCCTTAGGAGCCAAAAAGGAAGCTAATTTAATGCATGTGATCAGGCACTCAGACACTTTTTGCCTTAATTATATTTACATAGGAGTAACAACAAATAGAAGGAAAACTGTTCTTATTAGCACAGCTTGACATTCCCAGTGCATTAGCACATGAAATGATCTGGTGACAGAGTAAATAAGCCACAAGTTACTTTAAAAATGCTTTTACAACCAATTCTAAGATATTTCCATCTCAGAAGTGACCTGAATTGTGAACTATTTGCAAAAACAACCCCATCAACTAAAATGAGAGTTTCAATAGAATCATATAAATGTTTCAAATTATCAAGTTAAAGTATTCAGCACAACTTGATTCAAACATGCCTTTTCAATTTCATCTAAGGCCCTACGATAACTGGACTGTCTCCACAGTATAGCAGCCAGGAGTAAGCATCTTGGCAGGAGCCTCTGCTTTTTCAGAGGCAGAACAGCTTCCCTGCTGAACCCAAAGGTTTTTGAGAGCCCTTGAAGAACACCCAACTTTGTGACCCTTTTGGAGGCTCCATGGACTGAAGCTGGATCTTGTCCAGTTGTAGCAGTCGCAGAACCACAGAAAGGTTTAGCCCTTGGAAAATTGAAAAGCCCTTTAAGATCATCCATTTCAACCATTAACCCAGCACTGCCAAGTCCAACACTCAACCATGTCCCTAAGTACCACATCCAGATGGCTTTTAAGCACTTCAAGGGACAGCAATTCCACAACTTCCCTGGGCAGCCCATTCCAATGCTTGACAACCCTTTCAGTCAAGAGATTGTTTCCAGCATCCAATCTAAACCTCTCCTGACGAAATGTGAGGCATTTTCCTCTTGCTCTCTAGTTTATTACTTGGGAGAAGGGACAACATTCCCTTCCTTTCAGGTAGTTAGTAGTACAGAGTGATAAGGTTTCCCCTGAGCCTCCTTTTTTTCTGATATAAACACCCCCAGCTCCCTCAACTGCTCCACATAAGACCCTTCATAAGTCCCTTTTGCTCCAGACCCTTCACTGGTTTCTCACTACTCTTTGACTGAGTCACAACAGTGATTTAATTTTGTCCCACCACCTCCCAAGGTGTCATTTGGGAAGGAGCTGGCAATCTGCCCAGGACATCTGAACAGCAAATCCAGGCAGGCAGAAATGAGCCACATCAGGGTACAGCACTCTGTGAGACAGCTACTGTGGCCAGGTGTGCTGGCAGCAGGGCACACTGCTCCCACTGAGTTCTGGATTAAGACTTCAGCATCTCGATGGGATATTATGTACTTTTTATTGCCAGCTTCATCTTATATACCACCAAAACCAGTATTTAATTTAGAACAGCTTTATTTAGAGATATTTAACCAGAGAGTATCTTAATCTGGAGGTGTGGGAAAAGAGATCATTTAAAATTTCTTTAATTCTTTTTCTGGTTATTTTCAGCAGTCCTCTATTCAAAATAACTTGGAGCTATGCATAAAGGCTGATTATAAAACCTATCTAGGGGATTGAGTCACACAGCTGTGCATTTAAATCTCCTTAAGCATGTTTCAACAGTCTCAAACACATGATGCTAAATTGGAGATGGGATTTTTGGATTAGAGATGGTGAAATGGGAGAGGGAGCACCAAGGTTAGAAAGCAAGTGAAAGTGTGACTTCTGCATGGGCCTGCAAGGTTTCATCAGGAATGCTGGCTTGGAGGAAGGATCTCCTTGGGATCCAGGAAGGATCTCCTGAGAAAACCAAACAGCACAAACTGCATCAGGCTCTGTGAAGCTCCCCAGGATGTGTGCACTAGGACAGCAGCACCACTCTTAAGAAAGGTATTTTGCACCTGAGGAGCTCAGAGTTTGATTATTTAATACCTTTGGAAGAAGCTGCTGATGGCATGCTCTGCTTGAAAGAACTGCTGTCACCTGCAGGAACAGAGTTGAGACCCAGAGCTTCATGATTAAGCTGAAACCAATACAGTAGAGCTACCTTTTCTTCCTGAGACCAGGGCTTATAGCTTTGCCAGATTATTTTGACTATTTTCCCCACCCCAAGGATTTTAACTTTACTTTCTACAATACCTTTTAGCTTGGAAACACTGTTGATTTTCTCTTGCCAGAAAAAAAAAAAAGAGAGGGAGGAAAAAAAGAGTTCATTTCCAGACACTTGAGAGTATTGGAATTGTTCAGGTGCTGAAGTCAATGCAAGGCATCAGCTGATAAGTGGGAGGCTTAAATGTTAAAAATCTCAAGGTAACAAGACAATGATTTGAAAAGGCCTTCTTTCTTCCGATTACTACTGAGAAAGGATGATATTACAGTGAACCTTGTTAAAATGGAATATTCCCAACAGAGAATAATTGATGTTAGTGCTACTGTCAAACTGAAGATCTGAAGAGGACTAATTACATTTTCTACTAGGAATAACTTTCTATTTTGTCACTGCTTCGACTGAGCAATCCCATTAATCTCAAACATCTGAATCTCAGATCCTCTGCCTAATTTCTGCCGGGAAATAGCAAAACCAGCACTATATAAGCAACAGTGGCTGGATTTGATGCCCTTAAATCAGAAGAACATGTAAAAACATTCTAACACAGTCTTCAATATCTTGTTCGAAGGAACATGCAGGTAGAAGAAAGCAAGCATCCATGAAGCTGGTGTCTAATGGTGGTTGCTGGTTTGGCTATTCACTGCTGGATAGGGAGCAAGGGATCCTATCCCCACACTCCTGTGTGGGGCTTTGGGGAAATGCATTGGGCTAAAAATGGGAGCTCAGATGCTCTGCTTGCTAGTGGGAAATTTCTCTTCCCTCCTGTCTCACTGTCACTAGCTCATGACAGGAGCAATGTGCTCTCCCTCCAGCTTCATGTGGCTTCTATCCATGTTTCTGTTTGGTCCTGGCTCTGCGATTAAAGGAAAGCAGCTGACTGCCTCCCTTGAGTGTCTCAGCCTGTTAAGTCCAAGAGAGGTGCATATGCTCTGCCATTGGAGAGAGCACATCAAGAGAAATATCACCTTGTGGTACATTGTATCAAGAGAAAGCATCAGCTAGAAATGAAGGGCATCAGCACATCATCTACACAACGACAGCAGCTCTGAAGTGCTCCAGCAGTATTCCCTCACTGGATTTTTACTCTATTCCTGAGTGCTTCTTTGTGGGAGTGTGCATATTCCCTGACTACATTGCAAAGAACAAGAGAGAAACTGGAGGAGCAGTTTTCAGACAGAATGATGGTTGTGTCTGCTCTCACCATGGCTGGGCTGTCAGGACCAGCTGCCTCCCCCTGGGGATGAGTGGTGTTGCTGCTTGCAAACAGTGATCAGGCATCACAGGACCAGGGGAAATTGAAAAAAAAAAAAGCACAAAAGCCCCCAAACCAGCACTTAAGGAATACTGGGGTGGTTGAAAGTCTCACCAAAGTCAGAATTCTGGAAAGGCTGAAGAAAATCAGGGCTGAGCTCCCTGCCATCTATCTGACCATCCTGGAAAGATGATGCATTGAGAAACCTCAAGAACGGTAGAACCAGAGGGTTGGTCCAACTGAAGTACACCAGCAGGATTTCTCCTTCAACCAAACCCAGGTCCTTTCCTTTTTTGTAGTCCCATAAGCAGTACAAACAACAGCAATACTTTCTAGTAATTGAAACAACAGCTATTAAAAAAGTGAGCTGATGTTGAATATATCTCACTTATGAGGACATTAACAGAGTTTGCAAGGGCCATTAAAAGAACAGAGCTCACTTTTCATCCCCCATGAAACCATAAGTCATGATTTTTTTCTTTGCTAGGTTACGTTTGGAACACAAAATGTCAGAAAAATATAAGGGTTTTTTGAGCCATAGGAAGTAGTCTTCTTTGCCTGGATGACATTCATTTAAATGAAGAGTCTACAGGTGAAGCGTAGAGATCTCGACATAATCAGAGACATTCTGGTTCTTTCCAAAGATGCTGGTTACATCCACATCCACTTGTGAATTCAATGCAAAGGATAATGCAACCAGGGATAAACGCTGGCACAAAAAGGTTAACACTGGAGGGTAACTGGAAGTAGGTGATGCATCAACACATCTGCCAAAATTGAATATGAAGGATAGAAAGTGTGCTGGAAATGGCTTCAAGGAAAATTTATGCCTAAATAAGCTGACAAAATCAGCAATTTAGTATTTTTTAGCACATCTGACAGGCTTGTAAGAGAAATTGAATATAATTTTTGAGGAAATGATGGTATTAGGTAAAGAGACATAATTTTTGAGACCTATTAATAGTCAGTTGTCCAGGGACATTTCTGAAGGCAACGTTGATTCCACAAGAAGCACTGACCATCTGGATATTTCCAATGACTACCTATATCTCTGTGCATTGACACTTCAATGCAGGAATGCAAGGAAACACCTAGGAATTTTGGTCATTTAACTCCATCATTTTAGGCATGGCTAGATGGCCAGGATGTGGCAATTATCAGTGGACAAAACCTGCTGATGGTTTTCTTACCGGTTGGTAATCACTGCCCAAGGTCTACTTTTACATGCATTGTGTACTTCAAGCTCCCTTCAACCCTGTAACAACCTTTTATTTCTCCCCCTCCCCCTGCCCTTTATCTGCCAGAAACCATTCTAGCATAAGTGGAAATTCAGACTGGTTGATTTTTTTCAGAATGATTTTCATGATCACGCAGAATTGCTCAGCCTTGTACTGCCACAGTTTGAGCCACACATGCAGGATTTCATGCTTCATGGAACAGCTTAAAAGCACACTATGTAAAATGGGCCAAAATTACATCAGCGTTGGTGCTACTGTACTGGATAGTGAAATTGTTTAAAGGTTGTTACATTAAAAGTTCCATTAAGCTATGTGTTGTTGAATCAAATTTTTAATGCCTAAAATACTAAAAATAAAATTACCGTGCTTTTCTACTGAAGATAATATTTAAAAACCATTATTTTATAAGCCAGTTTCAGAGAAAAAACATTTTTTCTGAAAAGAAACCATGGTATCATCAGTATCATGAATTAAACACACAGAGAAGAGAGATTTTACATGCATCCAAAATATAGCTTCTGAAAGAAAGATATATTTTTCCCCCCTCTTGAATAATGCCCATTGTGTGCCTGGTTAGAAAGCGATAGCTTGGTTATGAAATAATGGAAATTTTATCCAAAATGCTGCCTGCACATTAAAATCATCCCACAGCTGACACAATGCTGTCTGCAAGCTTCTGGGCTATAAATCTATCAGTAAATAAGGACCATATTACTGTGACTCCTCATGTTAGGTGAATTTCTTATTAAATGGCTGACTAGAATGTGCTGTACATGAAAAAGAGAACATCAAATTAAGCTGTGCTGTAAAAATTAAAACACAAGATGAGACAAATGCTAGCCTCTGCATTTATCTGTGTGCTAACAGCTCTACTGCTTGCTGTGGCAACAGCCTGTGTGGTGAGAGCTCTACTGCTTGCTGCTGGCAGTGGTGCAGCTGGAGGTCCCAGGGCACAGCTGCACAGCAGGGAGAGCCAGCAGCATTTTAAGGGACATGCCTGTATGTGTTTAAAGGAATGTTCCTGTACGGGGCTGATCAGTGACACAGGAGCTGTCACACCTGGGGCAC